CCATCAAAAGTGAATGCCCTTTGAATGGAAACAAGATACCACCATGGAGAGGCACCGTTCTCTCTCTTTTTGTTGTTCAGTCGCACAGTCGAGTCCGACTCTTCGCGACCTCATGGACCAGATCACGCCAGGCCTTCCTGTCTTCTGCCGTCCTCTGAAGTTCGCTCAACTTCATGTTCGTTGCATCTATGACACTGTCTAACCATCTCATCCTTTGCCGTCCCCGTCTTCTTTGACCTTCAATCTTTCCCAGCATCAGGGTCTTTTCCAGTGAGTGCTCCCTTCTCATTTGGTGGCCAAAGTATTTGAGCTTCAGTTTCATTATCTGGCCTTCCAGGGAACAGTCAGGGTTGATTTCTTTGAGGATTGACTGATTTGTTCTTCTTGCAGTCCAAGGGACTCTCAAGAGTCTTCTCCAGCACCATAGTTCAAAAGAATCTATTCTTCGGTGCTCGGCCTTCCTTATAGTCCAACTTTCGCAGCCATACATGACTACTGGGAATACCATTGCTTTGACCATGCGGACTTTTGTTGGCAGGGTGATGTCTCTACTTTTTATCATGCTGTTTAGGTTCGCCATCGCTTTCCTCCCAAGGAGCAGGCGTCTTTTAATTTCATGGCTGCAGTCACAGTCTGCGGTGATCTGGGATCCCAGGAACGTGAAGTCTGTCACTACTTCCACGACTTCCCCTTCTATTTGCCAAGGAGTGATGGGGCCGGATGCCATGATCTTAGTTTTTTTGATGTTGAGCTTCAAGCCCATTTTTGCGCTCTCCTCTTTCACTCTGAACAAGAGGCTCTTAAGGTCCTCTTCACTTTCTGCCATTAGAGTGGTATCGTCTGCATCACTTAACCATGACTTGAAGCTGAATTTACAACCCTGCCCAACTGTGCTTAGGGTCAGCATTAGTGTTCTGTCCAGATGTAACGCCCAACACTGACAGAGCAATCAGATATGGGCCACACACTCACACACCTCCACCACCTCTCCCTCTCTCTTCTAGAGCACGACTTCCCAGCACCAAGTACACCTGCGGCTAGCTGCTTCATTATCTGTGGCTACAGATTCTGGTTAGCCACTTTGATCCAAAAATAAAAGCCCAAAACACCGTCCACATAATCTGTCTAGTAGGTTCAACCCAACGACACGTTAACAGCGGGCATGCTTCCAAGTTCCCCAGAACTCTTCACCAGGCCAGATGTTACAAAATTTTTAAAAAGGGGGGGGGGAAAGCAGAATTTCACTAGGCTCTTCAGGAATCTGCTTCCTCTTACTTGCTACTTCTTGGGTTACGAGGTTTCTCGCCCACCCCAGCTAGATCCTGCTACCCAGTGTGGCTTCAATCAGCCCTTGACGTGCAGCATCATTCACTTCCAGCACTGACGACACAACCGCATCCACTGTCAATAGAAAGACTGCTCTCATCAGTTTCTTAAGGGGCTACTTATTCTCTTTACCTTGTTTGTTGTCAAAACCCAGGGCCTTTTTTTTTTTGGTGCAGGAACTCCTTTGCATGTTAGGCCACGCCCCCTAATTGTAGCCAATCATAATGAGTTCCTGC